AATGCCACAAAATAAGGGAGGCGGACACAGCTTCAATTTTCAATGACGCGAAGCTGATGCCACAATGAAGCCATGCGTATGCGACAATGATGCCAAAAAAGCCAAAGCTTCCGCGAGAACTGTACTGTATCTTGAACCTGCTCTGTCAGTTTTCATTCAAATTTGGCACATACATGTACTTTATACTTGTTAGGATGCATGTCCATGACAATGTTTCAAAATCTGGTCAAGGATGGCCGATTGACAGCCATCTGACTTTTTGGCTTTACTACTATATTTCCACAATTTATGTACCATTTTCATTTGTATTTAGCACATACATCATATATATCAGTGTGTTTCATAATCAGATCAAAGATTTTTAATTTTTGCCATATTACTACTACCGGTACATGGAACACATGTTTTGATGTAAATAAACAATCTGTTGTATACGCCACTTGGAATTCAAGTTTCAAGGACACGCTCGCGACAATCCCTCTGCTTTAATATGACGAGCACAAAGAGAACTTTCAAAAATTTTACTGGGACTGTGTCATTTTCAATGACTTGTTTTTTCAGAAATTATACTGCACATATCAATCAAACGTGGCTTGTTGATGGAGATGCATGTTCTTGAACTCTGCAATTTTACCTAAAGCAGGTCTTTCATCGTTTATCACCTCTCCATTTATCTCCTGCTTTCTCGCAGGTACAGTAGAAACTAGAATCCTGGATCTTAGTCGTACATGGACAGATTTCATTGAAAATAGAATCCTGAATCTTAGTCGTACATGGACGGAAAATAGAATCCTGAATCTCAGTCGTACATAGACGGATTTCATTGAAAATAGAATCCTGAATCTTAGTCGTACATGAACGGATTTCATTAAAAATAGAATCCTGAATCTTAATCGTACATGGACAGAAAATAGAATCCTGAATCTCAGTCGTACATAGACTGATTTCATTGAAACTAGAATCCTGAAGCTTAGTCGTACATAGACGGATTTCATTGAAAATAGAATCCTGAATTTTAGTCGTACATGGACGGATTTCATTGAAAGTAGAATCCTGAAACTCAGTCGTACATAGACAGATTTCATTGAAACTAGAATCCTGAAGCTTAGTCGTACATAGACGGATTTCATTGAAAATAGAATCCTGAATTTTAGTCGTACATGGACGGATTTCATTGAAACTAGAATCCTGAAACTCAGTCGTACATAGACGGATTTCATTGAAACTAGAATCCTGAAGCTTAGTCGTACATAGACGGATTTCATTGAAAATAGAATCCTGAATTTTAGTCGTACATGGACGGATTTCATTGAAACTAGAATCCTGAATCTTAGTAGAACATTATGGAGCTTATTTTTGTTCTGAATCAAAATGACTGACTGGCAAAATTCTGTTCCAGAGCCATTTTTAGCTCCTGCTGTCGACTTTGTCATATGAGTGATTGTCCTTCGTCCGTGTCAATGTTTTACTTTTTCGACTTCTTCTTGAAAAATACAAGCCTGAATGCTTTGATACTTGGTGTATATGTACCTTGGGTAGACCTCTCTCAGATTTGTTCATTTCATGATCATATCTTCAATTCTCTAATTTTGGTGAATATTTTTGTCATTTTTGGTAAAAAGTGATATTTTCGACTTCTTGTTAAAAACCGCAAGTCCAATTGCTCTTATATTACATATATAGGTACTACATGTGGATCTCTCTCAGATTTGTTCATTTTGTAATGATATCTTCAATTTTCTAATTTTGGTGAATATTTTTGTAATTTTCGGTAAAAAGTGATATTTTCGACTTCTTGTTAAAAACCACAAGTGCAATGGCTTTGATATTACATATATAGGTACCACATGTGGACCACTCAAATTTGTTCATTTCATGATGATATCTTTAATTCTCTAATTTTGATGAATATTTTTAAATTTTTTTGTAAAAAGTGATATTTTCGACTTCTTGTTAAAAACCACCATCATTTATGGTGAAAAATGATATTTTTGAATTCTTGTTGAAAACAGCAAGTCCCATTGCATTGATACTATACATATTGTTCATTTTCTAATGATATCTTCTGTTCAGTTCTTTAATTGAAATGTGCATTGCTAACAGCGGAGCTATCTCAGCCGACAGGCTGCTTGTTCTGACATGCCTTGACTGATTACATTAAAATGTAGACTTGAGATAGCTGTCAGGCATTGTTAATGTAACATTTCTGTCATTACACAACTAATACGCAACTATACACAGCATTTTATTACAGTTTTGTTTTGTACTATTTCATGAAGAGTACTACCCCAGTATGTCATTTTAATGACTTGTCTTTTTTCAGTCTTATTGTTTGAAAGTGAAAGAAATGGATGATGAAGAATATGCCTATGCTGCATTAGGAGAACCATTATATAGAGTAGAAACTGGTAATTATGAATACAGGTATGTAATGTATTCTCGGCTTGTGATCTATAATCGGCCATTCCTGTTTATATCTGCACCCCCCTGTTGATGAGTCGGATTTCCAGCACTGTATGATGGGGAAAATACCCCGGAATTCCAACTGTATATGAAAAAACAGAATCTTGGAAATGC